TTTTTTTTTTTTTTTTTTCCTTAATGTTTATTTTTGAGACAGGGAGTGGGGGCAGAGAGAGAGGGAGACACAGAATCCAAAGCAGTCTCCAAGCTCTGAGCTGTCTGCACAGACACTTAACCAACTGAGCCACCCAAGCACCCTAAGAAATACATCTTTTTAACAGGCTTTTACACTCTGAAAATAAGTCTTAAAGATGCAGGAATAAAAATGGTGTAGGACAATGCCTCTCAAACTTTAAGGAAGTAAAAAATTGAGAGGAAAAATCCTACTTAAAATGACTATCAGTAAAAAATAAAATGACTGTCAGTAGACTCTGGACAAGTTCATTTTTATCTTAGAAAGCTGAGGAAAGAAAATATTTAAAAATTTCTAAAAACTTAAAAGAATTTGTCAACAAGATGGTATAGTGGGATTTTTTTTTTTTTCGCTTTTCTACATATTTAATACAGGTGCAACAGAGGTATTCATAAATAGATGCATAAAACAAAATGCTACAGGTTTAAGAAACATTGTAGAAACAAATAGGTGAGAGTGAATGATTAACTCTTAAGCATATATTTACCCATTCATAGTACAAAGTTATGAGCAAAGTTAAAACCGTTAGGCAGAGTCTGCTGGTTGATCGTAAGTCATTGTGAGAACCTCAGAATATAAACATAGAATTTTATATATGGTTTAAATCATTGTAAAATTTTAGATCTTGGCATAGTTTGATGCAAAAGTTACATTTCTGTCCTCTTGAAAGGGAATTGAAGTTTTACTTCGTCAATGGCAAAGAATAACAATGGCTATTTAAAAGATGCTGATAGGGGCACCTGGGTGGCTCAGTTGGTTGAGCGTCTGACTTCAGCTCAGGTCATGATCTCACAGTCCATGAGTTCAAACCTGCGTCAGGCTCTGTGCTGCCAGCTCAGAGCCTGGAGCCTGTTTCAGATTCTGTGTCTCCCTCTCTCTCTGCCCCTCCCCTGCTCATGCTCTGTCTTTCTCTGTCTCAAAAATAAAAAAATAAAAAAAAAACATTTTAAAAAATTAAAATAAAAGATGCTGATATATTTGAGAAATAAGTAGAGCAGATAAGTTATTTAAAAAGAAATTTAAGATTGCTATAGAAACTTTATAGATGAAAAGAAAGCAGAGGTAATGTCCATTGCAGATATTTTTTTCCTGAAAAGGAAGATGAAATAAGTTTATTAGATGAAATGAGAAATTTGAAGAGAAAGATCACTACATTTGATTTAAAATCTAAATACTGTTTTTGTGGAAATACTGCCATGACCAGGAAGAGACTGAAAATCTTAATTCCTTTGTGCTTGTGGGACTAAGACTACCAACTGTTCCATAGATTTCATACCAAAAAGTATCAAGAGACACCATTTCTATATAATGCCTCAGGGAACCTTAAACAGTGAAAAATTAACAATACTGAACCGACACCTCCCAAACAGCATAGCAGTAAAATATGTAACAGGAAAATTGGCAGAAACGTAAGGTTAGATTATCATTGTAACAACATGAAACAGATGAAGTTTTGTATTCCTGGCTGTGTAATTTTTGGGTCCAAGATACGCTCATTTTAATTTTTAGTGGACATGATCAACTTCCCTTCTATTTAGACTTTCACCAGCAGCTTAGGAGAGTGCCTGTTTTCCTGTGTGGAGGTAGACGCTGAATATTATCAAACTCTTTCTTTTTTGCTAGTCTGAGAAGTGAAAATGATGTCTTGTTTTTTATTTACTGTCTGAATCATACTGAGACTTAAATTTGATTGTGCTTTGCATAGGCTTTACAGAAACAGCCCAAGTAATGTATTTTCTCCATCTTTTCTCTAAACATAATAGGAAGTAATGAGTTAACGTTTTGTCTTCCTTCAGAAGAGTAATATGATCTATAAGCTGAATTTTAAGGGATTTTCTTTCTGTATATAGGTTGAAGCTTGTAGATTATATAGCAAGTTCTCTGCCCGGCCAAGCAGCATAGAGACTATTCCCTCTATTATCGAGAAGGTAAAGTATTTAATTACAGGTCCTCCAACTCAACTGGTTTTTCTCAGTTGCTCATACCTGTGTTATTTTTATTCTCAATAGAATGAGCAACAATTTAGTATATATTCAGGCAGTCAAAAATGATATAAAGAGCTATGTACATTTTAATTTTGCTGTCATTTAATTATAGACACAGAGATAAAGTAAATAATTTTTGAAAAAAGTTTCTCCTTAAGTTTTTTAAATTACTATTTTTTAATTACAGAAAAGTAAAAAGAAAGATAAAAGGAGACCCTGAGTTCCCTTTCTGTCATGCTTTTCCAAAAGATTATGTTTGAAAATTATACTAATGCATATAAAACTGTGTCTTAGTTGATTAAACAGCGTGTTATAAAGTAATTTTAGTTGGCCAACATTGGTATGTGGAGTTATGTTGGAGCTGTTTCAAAACCATGTGGTACATATTACAACATCACAGTTGGCCAAGTCTTTAGGATTAGGAAGCAGGGAAAAGTACATGTTACAGAGGAAAGACTTGGCAGGCAGAGCTTGGTGGGTAATTTCTAAGACCAATGCGTGCTACAACATGGATTTTAAAACCTTTGGCGAGCATTTTCTTTCATATCTCTCCCCTTTAAAAAAATACTTTTAAAATATATATTTCAATAGAGGGCATTTCAGTTTTAGTTAAAATTGCTTATTTCTCCAGCTAAGGATGTCCAGAAAAATTAAAATCGTATTCCTTTCACAATTTTAATTATCTTTGAGTGAATTATGTATTTCGATTATGTAATGAGAGTTTTAAAATGTTTTCTTCTATTTGTAATAAATTTAGGCAGTGAGAAGCAGCATTTATGGTCGTCCAGGTGCTTGTTATGTTGACATACCTGCAGATTTTGTGAACTTGCAGGTGAATGTGAATTCTGTAAGGTAAGGAATAGTTAACGCTGGAGTTCTTTCTTAATTGTGTTATTATAATGTTTAACTTTTTCACAGATTACTTAGCAGTTTATAAATTAATCTTCATTTGTCTTAACTTTTGACAATTTAATAATTAAACTAAATCCTGGCCAAAGGCCTGGAGCTTTCTGAGCACTCATTTTAAATTATTCTTCTAATAGCTATAAATAATACATCACCATCAATGTAGTAGGGGTTATATAGAGTCTTCATAGTGTAAACCAAGAGATCAGGCGACTGTTGAAAAATTCTTTAGGACTCGGCATAAAAAATTTTAGTCTTTCTGTCTGTCTCTGTGATTTAAAAATATTCCAACTCAGGTGTTACTATGATTTGCATGTTCCCTTCTTTCTTAAATAAACACTGGGTGAATAAAGAATATAAGAAACATTTTTCACTGGGATCAAAGTCACCTCAGGTAAGGATGGATACTTAGGTTAATGCATCACTCTGGGTACCATTTAGTATATTCTTGCTGTTGTGGACCCAGTGGTTCTCCAGTGACTACAGAGAGACGGTGTGCATTTCTGTGTATTCAGTATACCAAGGAGTTGCTTCTCTTGGTGAGAGTCATCTACTCTGCATAATACCTGAACATGATAAATGCAGTATTGAGCGGAGGGAAGGCAGAGATGAGTCTCTGGTAAGTTAACTCTGTAAGCCTTCTTTAAAATTTTTGTAAAGGTTGAATGTCTTTTTTGTATTATATGTTCAAATTTTGTACAGTGTGCAATGTTTATTCAAATAAATGAAAACACTGAGGATTTGGTGTCTAGAAATACTTAACTATAATTTAAATTTCTATGCTAACTATACTTAATATTTCTTTTCTAATGCATGTTGTATACTAAAATATTGACTCTCCCAGTGAATGGAAATACAGTGAGGTAGTTAAAAGCATGGGCTTTGGAGACAGAATGACCTAGTTCAATCCAGTCTCTGCCACATACCATCTGGGGACGCTGGGCAAATTACTTTGAGTTTTTCCCCCAGTGGTGATATGGAAATAAAATGCCTAACCTCATTGTTTTGAAAATTAAATGAGACTAAATGACACATAGTATTAGACACTGGCTTTTAGTATGTTTTTACTATTATTACAACAAGAACTATTACTACAATGTAAAACCATTGATTCAAATTTCCTGTCAATGAATTACTCACTTGATTGGTTTTAGATGGTATTAGGCAATAACTTAATTTACTAGGTGTGATAGGGACATTATGGTTATATAGGAGAAAGTCTTTATATTTTAGAGCTGCATGGAAAAGCTTTTAATTGCCTATAATTCTCTTTAAAATGGTTCAGGAATGGGGCGCCTGGGTGGCTCAGTCGGTTGAGCATCAACTTCAGCTGAGGTCATGATCTCACGGTTCATGAGTTCGAGCCCCGTGTCGGGCTCTATGCTGTCAGCTCGGAGCCTGGAGCCTGCTTCAGATTCTGTGTCTCCCTCTCTCTCTGCCCTTCCCCTACTCGCACTCTGTCTGTCTCTCTCTCAAAAATAAATAAAACGTTAAAAAAATTAAAAAAAAAATAGTTCAGGAAACAAATTTATGTACATATTTGTGTGCGTATGTGTGAAGCAAATGTGGTAAAATGATACTAAGTTGTTGAATATATCAGGTGGATATATGGAGTTTATTGTACTGCTTTTTTTCTACCTTTTTATATATTTGTTATTTTCAGTTAAAAGTTCAAAACTTGCCTCTTTTAATGAACAGAGCTCTTCACTTCCAGGTACACGGAGTGTTGCATGCCACCTCCTGTTAGTATGGCAGAGACCTCCGCTATATGTATGGCAGCAACTGTTATTAGAAATGCCAAGAAGCCCCTTCTTATCATCGGGAAAGGTAGCATTGATTGGAACTCTAAACTTTGCCCAGCTGTCAAAAGAATGTTGATTCTGTTTAGAAATTGTCTTCATTACTTATTAACATATCTAATATTCAAAATTGGAGTATGAGTTCTTTTCATTTAGCATTATTTATTAATTTTGAAATCACAGAATTATTCTAGAATGCCCAGAGATCTTACCCTTTTAAGGGAATATCTATTCTATTTCTTCAGTTCTATGCATGAATTATGGTTTCTTCCACTATAAAAATAATATGTGATCATTATTAAAAATGTTGGAAAATCCAGAAGATTAGAAAGAAGAAATCCCTTCTTCCAAAGACAACTATCTTAAACATTCATTTTTGTGTGTATATTTTGTATATTGTGATCACACCATATAGACTGTTTTAGTTATATTGGTTATTTCATTTAATATTATAACAACATTTCTTCAGTCTTAAATTTTTTTCCTAAGTATAATTTTAATGTCTGTTCATGTATGTACTAATACTTCACTGGTAGATACTTAAATCTTTGCCATTTTTTTTGTTTGTTTAGTATAGTTGTGACAAACATGTTTGTGCTTAAAGCTTCTTCCATATATAGGCTTTAAGATAGATTTCCAGGAAGAAAATTTGAGAAGTTCTAAAAGCAATTTCATATGAACTGTTTTAAGAATCACAGTGCCTGGAGCTTAACTGACTTGTCTAATATGTTTGCATTTCTTGTAGGTGCTGCTTATGCCCATGCAGAGGAGGGTATCAGGAAATTGGTGGAGCGGTGTAAATTGCCGTTTTTGCCCACCCCCATGGGAAAGGGTGTTATCCCTGATAACCATCCGAACTGTGTGGCTGCTGCCAGATCCAGGTGCGTGGCATTCTAGAATTTAAGTACAATGGCCTGGCAGATTTTAAGCTAATTTAAATTATTTTGTGACTTTAATGAATCTAGGAGAAGTTCTGAAATGTAATTTTAAGCACACCTGTTTCTTTTTAGACTTTTCAGCACTTTAAAGATGTTGCCCACTGCCTTCTGACCCTCCTGGTTCTAGATGAGAAATCTGTAGTCGTTTGAATCCTTGTTCCCCTACATGTAGTATGTTCTCCTGTGCCTGCTTGCAGGATTTTTTCTTTATTTTTGGTTTTCAGCAGTTTGATTATCTGTCTAGGCATGGTTTTCTTTCAGTTTATCCTTGTTCTGTAATCTTCAATCTGTAAATTAATGTCTTCCACCAAATTTGTAAAGTTTCTGACCACTATTTCTTAAATATTTTTTCTGTACCAATCTCTTTCTCCTTTCCTGGGATAATGCAAATTGTAGACATTCTGATACCGTCCCATTGGTCCCTAAATATCTGTTCAACTTTTTTTCATCTTTAAAGTCGTTTATTAGAAATTTCTTATATGCAATGTTTTTTATTTTTATTTATTTTTAAATAAATTTTTTATTTTATTTACCTTTTAATTGAAATATAATTGCTATGCAATGTTGCATTTGTTTCAGGTATACAACATAGTGATTTGATAGCTCTATACATTATGCTGTGTTCTCCATTCAGTTCTTTTCAATGCTTTTGTCTCTTTTATATTTTATATTTCTCTTTTGAGAGCTTCTATCTTCCCATTTATTTGAAGAGTATTTTTGTTCACTTTATGGAGCATATTATAATAGCTGTTTTAATGTCCTTGTTTACTCATTATCTGAGTCATCACAGAATGGGTGTCTTTTCATTTCTTTTGAGAATTGGTCAAATTTTTCTGGTTCTTTCATATATTGAGTATTTTTGGAATGTATCCTAGATTTTAAGTATTACGTTGCAAGATTCTAGGTCCTATTTACATCCTCTGTTGAATGTTGATTTTGTTTGTTTTAGCAAGCAGTTAGTCTGGTTAGGTTCAGACTGCAAGGTCTTACTAGAGGGGCAGTAGCTCCAGAGTCAGTTGAGTTTCGAAGCCTTTGCTGTGTTTGTTCACACATGCAAAGCTCAAGGGTGAACCCCAGTCATGTGCCAGTTCCTCTCCAGAACTAGGGGTTTCTTTTCCCCAGAGTGACACTCTGTAGGACACCCCCTGCCCTTTCCACGAGTCCCTTGCTGCTGCCTTATAGTACTGCACAAACAGAACTGCCTTTGGGGCAAAGTAACAGAAAGAAAGATAAAAAGTAAGGGGGATTGTCCCCATACTCTTTACAGTCCGAAGGGGCCCCTTTCTTGGTTCTTCTTGCCTGAAAAATGAAGTCTCTCAGAATTTTAGCTGCTGGGGATCTACCATGATACAGCTGTGCAGGAGGGCCGCTCCCAGAGCATGGCTGTGAGAGCAAAAAAGGAGAAAGAAAAAAACCTGAACTTCTCCCCGTCGTGCTCCTCCCTGGCTTTCAGGGTCCCTTTGATCACCTGTCCAAAAAAACAACGTTTCTCCCCAAGTGTTTGTTGCCCTCCAGTTCTATAACCAGCACCGCCCTGAGTCAAAGCTACAAAGTAAAAGAGAGGGAAATAAACCTTAGAAACTCACCCCTTGTGTGAGTCACTTCTTTGACTCCTTTCCCCCACCCGTCTACTATTGGTTACTTTTCAGAATCCTCAGGCAGTTGCTTTTTATATTTTGTTCCCAGTTTTCCATTGTGATTAGAGAGCTAGGCTATAGTGGGCTTACCCAGTCTTGGCTGGCACTGGAAGTCTCTCCTTTTTAGATTTTTAAAACATACATTTGATAAACTATACATTTTTCTTTTAATTTCTTGAGATTTCTTTATTATGAAATATTCTAAATAATACAAATGAGAGGTCATTTAATTAACACTTATATAACTGCCACTCGGCTTTATTAAATATAATGTAATCTATTAAGTAATATGTAATATTAAGTAATCAAGTAATAAGTCATTGCTTTGTTTTTTTGTTTTTTTAGGAAAGAAAAAAATTACAGATTCATTTGTAGTCCCCTGAATAGCTTTTCTGATCTCATTCCTTCCTCCCTGCACAGAGTTCACCATGGTTATGCATTTGGTGCTTTTCATAATCTCATGCACACACTAAAATTAATATTGAGGGTTTTTAGAATGTAATTTTTGCTCATTTAATGCTATCTTAAATAGATTGTACCTTAATCTATACAAGTATAGACTATACCTTTACTTTTTTTTCATATTGGTATACATTGTAAGTAACCAAATTCTTACCCTGTTAAGGTTTTAGTGTGTGCATGTGTATATTTATATATTTGTATTTTAACTTGGCTTGAGCTGAAGTTTATCTTCATTCCATCAGAAGTTTAAGAAGGTAATATTAAACACATGGAACATTCTCCAGAATAGATCACATACTGGGACACAAATCAGCCCTTGACAAGTACGAAAGACTCAGATCATACCATGCATATTTTCAGACCACAATGCTATGAAACCCAAAATCAACCACAAGAAAAAATTTGGAATGACCACAAATACTTGGAGATTAAAGAACATCCTACTAAATAATGAATGAGTTAACCAAGAAATTAAAGAGGAAATTAAAAAGTGCATGGAAGCCAATGAAAATGATAACATGACAGCCCAAAACCTCTGGGATGCAGCAAAAGCCATCATAAGAGGGAAGTATGTAGCAATGCAGGCTTTCCTAAAGAAGGAAGAAAGGTCTCAGATACACAACCTAAACTTATACCTTAAAGAGTTGGAAAAAGAACAGCAAATCCCCCAAACCACCAGAAGATGGGAAATAATAAAGATTAGAGCAGAAATCAATGCTATTGAAATTTATTTTTAATATGAAATTTATTGTCAAATTGGTTTCCATACAACACCCAGTGCTCATCCCAAAAGGTGCCCTCCTCAATATCCATCACTCACCCTCCCTCCCCCATCAACCCTCAGCTTGTTCTCAGTTTTTAAGAGTCTCTTATGCT